GATTCTTTCCTAAATCTTGGATTCTGTCTGGCTTGCCTGAACTAATCCTTGTCTGAATCAGCCTCCTTAGCACAACTGTTGAAATTTTTTCTTCTTTCCTTTCGCAACCTCATCAATTTAGCCACATGCTTGCTTAGCATGGCTAACTCATCATCCTCCATGTCATCCATATTATCAAACTCTTCTTCTTGTTCTAAAACTCTGAATGCAATACCACGTTTTTCTTTTCTTGGTTTCTCATTTTCTTCTCGTCTCAGCTTGTCCTCATGTGTAACTAACGAACCCATCAGCTCATCTAGACTTAACCTGGTTAAGTCCTTTGATTCCTCTATAACAGTAACTTTAGGAGTCCACTTCTTTGGCAGTGCCCAGAGCACTTTCCTGACCAAATCAGCACTTGTGTATTCTACTTCCAGATTTCTCAGACTATTAACTATGGTTGTGAACCTATCATGCATTTCCTTGATAGTCTCATCTGGCTTCATCACAAAGGCTTCGAATTCTTGCTTGAGGACATTGATTCTAGAAATGTTGACATGATAGGTACCTTCGTGAGCAATCTGGAGTTTGTCCCAGATTTCCTTCGCGGTCTTGCATCCAAAAACACGATGATATTCTTCTGGCCCTAATGCACAATACATTAGATTCGTGACTTTTGAGTTCAATTGAAAATTCTTCTTATCCTCGTCAGTCCACTTTCCTCGAGCCTCCTTAACTTCAAGCGGACCATCCAGCACGATGTTCCACAGATCTGGATCGGTTCAGCCAATGAACAGCTCCATTCTATTTCTCCAGTAGCCATAGTGTACTCCTTCAAATCGTGGTGGTCTTGTTTGAGAGAACCCATCCGCCATGAAGACTCCACCAAAGTTTGCACTTGAACCCATGTTCTCCGGAGATTGTTAAACCTCGTTCGTCGGAGCCGGGCTCTGATACCACTTGTTGGTAGAGTCGAGCGCGAGACTCAGGAGCTAGTTCCCTCCTTTTCTTCGATCAACTTGAGTTCTGCAGAACCCTAATTTCGGTTTCGACAAGAGCAAGTGAAGAGAGTGGAATAAAATGAAAATTGAATCGATGGAAAGGTTAAAGAGACTCCCCTTTCGTGGTGAACAAAACGACAGCGTGATTTGAGTCTAATACAGAAGTGGGTTGGGCCGGGCAATTTCTTATTCGGCTGATGTTCAGTTGGCCCAAGTTTATTACTTGAAACGCTAGGTTTTAAAGACTCTGTTTCCTTCTCCTCCCCTTGAGCAAACCGATCAGAACTTGTCCTGCACAAGACTCAACTTTGCACTTTAACAAGAGCACAGAACCAATCTGGAAATATAATGAAGCAAAATAAAACACAATTAAAACACAGACACGATTTTTACGTGGTATCTGGTACTGATGAATTCAGTACCGACTAATCCACGGTCAAAGGTACTCTGATTTGAGTCCTTTGACGTTCCACTATGATGGTAGGATTCGGATTATAGTTTACAATCGATCTCGTGGTGACTCCCTTCACTAGATCAGACTTCCTGATCCAAATTCAGCTCCATGCATGAATTCAAATCTCAAATCACTCAACCTGTCTCCCCGACAGCTTCCCCTCCTTTTCTTTTCAAAACACAGTCTGCACTCTTGTCTCTGTTTTTGAAAATTGCTCGAAAAGGATGACTATGCTACCCAAAGCTCTCTTCTTTTATATTCTAGCCATTCCCACCCGTTGCACACAGATTTGGAGAATCAATCACCCTGCTTGATTTCCTTTAATCACTCGAGCCAGCAATGCCTTCCACTTTTAGATTGAGCTCGGTGATCTTCTTTCTTCCTTTCCTTAAATAAACGATGCCAGTGGACACAGCTTCACCCAACAGGGATTGGTTAATCCAACTATGTTTTAATGTACCAGTAGTCTGTAATCTAGTATCTATCCACTAAACAATGAAATATAAACTCATTCTTCAAAATTAAGGTTTATGCACGAATATTATTCCTCTAATGCATTGAATATCTGTTGTATTTATACTTTTTTTTAGAAATCTGTTGTATTTAATTATAATTGTAAACAAGTGATATATAGAAAAGCTTCTCTCAATTCGTATCTCTAAAATTCGAGTAATTACTTAAACACACCTTAGCTATATTGGCACAAGGATACTTATTTTCATAAAATAATTGGTTATCGCTCGAGCACAAAGTATGCTACTCTAGCATATTATCCCGTTGAGACTAATATACTTTTTATTATGATCTAAACATTGTGATTATTTTCTTAGCAACCCATGAACAAGCCTCCAATAATGTGGGAATGATATCGATTCGAATAGTTTTTCTATACCTATCATCCTGTTTTATATTAATAATCATCCCCGTAGCCAAAATTTGACGAAAATGCAATATAACATCTCAAAATAAACTTGGATGTCGTTTAGGAAAAAAACATATTCACATTATCTCAAGCCAACAATATCCAAAGTTTTTGGTATAAAGTAAAATTTTACTTAAAATGTCGATGTTAATTGAAATTTCTTGGAGCTTTTGCTAGTAACAATTGGTAAAATAAGTATGATTTTGGGTGTAACAAATAATTATAATACTCGAGGGATTGATGTCCTAAATAGTAAAGTGAGTGAGTTTAGAACAATATGTAGTGTACTACATAATCAAATGAATTTGATGTGGATACGCAAAATATCAAAACCACATCGAATGTAATGTACTCCTTGTCGTAAATGAAAAATATCGGCTTAATTGCAAGATTGGTCACTCGAATTGCTATAAAATTTCACGTTTTCCACTCAAATTAATTTATTCCATTTATAGTCACTCGAATTAGTTGAACAGTTCAAGTTCGGTCACTCTCCGTTAACTTCCGTTAACTTTGACTGACATGGCGGTCAACTCTGACCGTTGACCGTTAAATGTGTGACGTGGCAAATAAAAAATAATTAAAAAATTAAATTAAATTTTTAGAAATTACAGAGTAATCAGGGGAAAAGAAGAAAGAAAAGGGAATGCAGTAACCTGGAGCTTAGCAGGGCCAGCTAAACGAATTGCTGTAGCTTTCTCCTCCAGCAGCGCAGGGTCGTCCACCACCGTGACTTTGGAAACGTCAGGAACGACTCCATGGGCGTTCATTCCGCGCAGAGTATTACAGGAACTAACAGCGCCAGTGCCGGACCTGCGGAAGAGATGGGGAAACAGAAACAACGCTGCGTAAGTTGGAGCGGCGTGGAGGGAAGCGCGACGGCAGCAAAAGACAGATAGAGAAAAAGGAGGACTTGAAATTGGAGGAGGAGAAGCAGAGAGTGGAAATGGGGGGATTGAAGAAGGTCGGGAACCGAGTGACGGCGAAGAATTGGCTGCTCTGGCGGGGTTGGAGGATTCTGCCGCTGCTCATTTGATTGAGAGCTAATCAAGGACAACAAACTAATCAGAAAACCCCCACCAACTGCCAAACCCACTAGAAACCTCGAACCAACTCTGTTTTTGCCCTTCCTAGCAACAGGAGCAGAATTAGTAGGAGCAACGAATCGTTCCAAGTTGGAAGCAAAATCCCATGAGTGAATCCTGTGAACGGCGACTAACCGACCGGTGGAACCGGTGAACCCAAAAGTGGCCTCTTCGGGAAGGTAATCCCTCAAATCGACAATGCAGCTGAGCCGCTGAATCGTCGAAACGTTCCCCGCGTACCCAGTTACCACAACGCTCAAGTTACGGAGAGTGGAATTGTAAGATATCCAAGCATCGCTCTTCCTCCCACCCATGATATCGCCTCCCCAAGGTGCGGTCGTCACGGATTCCGTCGAATTGATGTCGATCCCAACGTGGGTCCCAACCGGATCGAAGTAGTTATCGAAGATGTCGAACTCGAAGGCCACGAAACGGTTCTCGGTGGCGTTCAATTGCCGTAGAGGAGGTTGGTGGCGGCGAAGGAATTGGAGTATTCGAGGACCGTGGGTAGTAGAATGGCGAGGACCTCCGACGCTCAAAATGGCGGCCGCCGGAACCCGGACTCTGGAAACAGAGTGGTCGGAGCGACATCTCAAGTTTTTGTGATAATTTCTTTTTTTCATTTTTTATAATTATAATTTTTTTATAATGATGTGTAATTTCTAAAAATTTAATTTAATTTTTTAATTATTTTTTATTTGCCACGTCACACATTTAACGGTCAACGTTCAGAGTTGACCGCCACGTCAGTCAAAGTTAACGGAGGTTAACGGAGAGTGACCGAACTTGAACTGTTCAACTAATTCGAGTGACTATAAATGGAATAAATTAATTTGAGTGGCAAACGTGAAATTTTATAGCAATTCGAGTGACAAATCTTGCAATTAAGCCGAAAAATATCAAAATTTACTCATTTGGACGATAAAATCAGGCTAAATTGCAAGTTTGGTCACTTGAATTACTAGTAAAGTTTACCTTAGTCACTCGAATTACTTTATTCCATCCGTAGTCACTTAAATTAGGTTAACAGTCCAAGTTTGGTCACTAACCAACCGTTAGTCTCCGTTAACTTTTGCTGATGTGGCAGTCAACTCTAATAGTTAACCGTTAAATAAGTGACGTTACAATTAAAAAATTAATAAAAAATAAAATTTATACTTTTCTCATTTCCAACTCATTTATACTTTTATTACCCAAAAAAAAGAGCTCATTTATACTTTTCTAATCTCCGACTACATTTGGCTTTCGGTGGATCCCTTCCGAGCAGAGTATCTGCCCGGGCTTATTTTATGGTGAAACAGGCTTTCCCTCATTACTGGCCCAATCTCGATTAGCCATGAGCCATTGGGCTCGGTTTTACCAAAGCCTTTAAATCCCGGCGTTTGCGTCTCTTTGTTCTGGGCAATCTGAAGTCGAAAACTTCTAAAGCCGAAGAAGAAGCACAGAAGTGAAGCAGAGTGCTAAGACCCGAACTGAGCTTTAACCCTGAAGCTCTTCGAAGTTCCGAAGGATGCAGTCTCACCTCCAAACTGCCACATTCGATAAGATACGACGATAGGATGATCTCAATCCAGCCGCAGTCTCAATCCCTCGTCAATGCTCAGGTACTCTTCCATCCGTTCACCTCCTCCCGCGCCTTCATTTCTCCTCTCCCGCCTCCGCCGCCGACGCTCAATCCACTGGAAGACCCGCCACGAATCCAAGCTCTTCCACCCCGAACTCCTCGATCGAATCTCCCGTCTCCTCGTGCTCGAGCATCGCGCTGCCGCGGCCTCAAATTCGACTTCTCCGGCGACCTCCTCGACTCAGTTCTTCTGAAACTCAGGCTCAATGCCGGCGCTTGCTTGATCTTCTTCAAATTGGCCGCGTCGCAACCTAATTTCGGACCCGGCGTCAAGTCTTATTGCAAGATGGTTCACATTCTGTCGAGACCAGGTCGTATTTGACTCAATTGGTTGGGTTCTGCAAGAATAATTATTCTTCAAGGCTAGTGCGGGATGAGCTCTTTGCGTTTTATCGGGAGTTCGGGTTCTCTCCTACTGTGTTCGATATAATACTCAAGGTGTATGCGGAGGAGAAAGGAACGGTGGGGAATGCACTCCAAGTGTTTGATAATATGCTCAAGTACGGTAGAGTGCCGAGCTTGAGTTCGTGTACCAGCTTGTTGGGTAATCTTGTTAGGAAAGGACAGAGATACACTGCCGTGCTTGTTTATGCTCAGATGATGAGGCTGGAGATTGTGCCGGATGTCTTCAGTTGCTTGATCATATGGTCAACGCGTATTGCAAGCAGGGGAGGGTGGATAGAGCAGTGGAGTTTGTTAAAGAGACGGAGCATTCAGGTTTTGAGTTGAATGTAGTGTCGTACAACAGCTTGACTGATGGGTATGTTAGTGTGGGGGATATGGAAGGAGCCTATGGGGTATTGAAGATCATTAAAAGCAAATGGTGTTTTGAGAAATGAGGTCACATTTACTTAGGTAATTAATGGTTATTGTAGAAGATGTAAATTAAAGGAAGCGGAAGAGGTGCTGGGACAGATGAAACAAGAGGGAGTGTCTGTGGATGAATATGCTTATGGTGTGTTGATTGATGGATATTGTCAAGGTGGTAAACTAGCAGATGCTGCTCGGATTCGAGACAAAATGTTGGAGATAGGGTTGAAGATGAATTTATTTGTTTGCAACTCATTCATTAATGGGTACTGTAAGAATGGTCAGTTTTGTGAGGCAGAGATATTGTTGATGCAAATGAGAGACTGGAAACTAAAGCCGAATTCCTATAGTTATTGTACTCTTGTTGATGGATACTGTAGAGAAGGCCTTATTGGCAAAGCTTTCAGTGTTTGCGAAGATATGATTAATTATGGCACTGAACCAAGTGTCGTAATTTACAACGTTCTTCTAAAAGGCCTATCCTGTGTTGGTAACCTTGAAGATGCTTTGCTATTCTGGAATTTGATGCTAAAGAGACGCGTGGATCCAAAGTAGATCAACTATTGTACTTTGCTTGACGCACTTTTCAAAATGGGGGACTCTTCAAGGGCTTTAACCTTGTGAAGTGATATGTATCCTGGCTAGGGGGCTTACCAAAAGCACATATGCTTTCAATAATAATGATCAATGGGTTGTCCAAGGTAGGTAAAATGGATGAAGCTGAGCAGATCTTTGCCAAAATGGTGGAATTCGGTTGTAAGTCTGATGGCATAACATTCAGAATCGTGGGTGATGGGTACTGCAAAGCTGGAAATGTTGAAGAAGCACTTGAAGTCAAAGAGAAGAGGGAAAAGGATGCAATTTCTCCTTCAGTTGAAATGTATAACTCTCTCATTACAGCACTTTTCAAATGCGGGAAAGTGAGTAAGCTTGTGGACCTCCTGTGAGAAATGAATAAACGGGAGATAGCACCAAATATCATCACCTATGGGGCTATTTTTCTGGCTGGTGTGATGAAGGCAGGCTGGATAGAGCTTTCAATACATATATTTTGAGATGATAGCGAATAGATTTGCTCCAAATTTGATTATCTGTGGCAAAATTATCAGTAGCCTCTACAGTGTTGGCAGGATAGAAGAAGCAAATATACTGTTGCAGAAGATTTTCGATCTCAGCGTTTTAGACCTGAACTTTTTTGAACAGTCTCAACAGAATGACTAAAGACATTTAGATTGTGAGAAGATTGCCGGTACCATTGTTCAAAATGGTACAAGTTTCTCTCCACCCAACAATGTGTTATACAATATTGCTATTGCTGGGGTTTGTACATCCGCCAAAATTGAGGACGCTAGAAATTTCTTCTCCAGTTTGTTGCATAGAGGTTTCTTTTCAGATAACTTCACTTACTGGACTCTAATTCATGGATGTTCTGCAGCTGGTAATGTGGATGAAGCCTTCAGATTGCGTGATGAAATGGTGAACTATGGCATAGTAGCAAACGTAACCACGTACAATGGCTTGATGAATGGCCTACGTAAATCAGGAAACATGAGTCGAGCACAAAGGCTTTTTGATAAACTTCATGCTAAAGGTCTTGCTCCAAATGTTCTCTCTTACAATATTTTGATAGATGGTCACTGTAGACGTAGAGAGACTGAGAATGTTAAATGAAGGAATTTATCCTTCCACCATTACATACTCTTCTCTGATAAATGGTTTCTGTAAGCAAGTAGACTTTGGAAACTCTGTGAAGCTATTGGATGAGATGACAGAGAGATTTTCTGATCTCAACCTAGCCCCATACCACAAATTAGTTGAAGATTGCATTAAGCGTAGAGAAACAAAGAACATCTCTAGGATTAATGACATAGCATATGCCTATTCATGTGCTGGTGTTAGTCCTTATAAACAGAAGGAGTTATTGGGGATCTCCGCTGCTGAATACACACTGAAGTAAAACTCTTTGTATGGACCTGAAGCTGTATGTTTATGGATGCTTGCTGGTCTTATGAATTGTCAAAAGGATTGTTTTCAATGGTTTTACGTTGCTTCAACCTGTCCTCTTCAAAGACTCATAATTATGGATAGATAGAAGGCTTTCGAAGTACTCCTGTGAACTTATGACTGTAAGGGGGCCTGTGGTGACTGTGAGGCATGACAAAATTAACTGGTTCTTCGATAAGGGGCCATGTGGTGAGGTATGATGAGAGCAGCTGGTTTCTTCTTGCTGAAAATTTACAGCTCTAGCCAGTGTTTCTCTGTCAAGAATTGGATTCCACAAAGGGCTTACCAACTTAAAATCAGATAATTGGAAAGCAGCAACTGCAGCACTTGAAAATCAGTTCAGGTAAATACTGAATTAAGTCAGATACACCTTGCAAAAGCTGCTCTTATGACTACTACTCCCCTCCTGATCATTTGCGTTTGTTGAAGCCCTTTGTCAGGTGCGCTGTATACTGTGGAATTGACATGTGAAGCCAATCTAAAATATTGTTGCAGGTAGTTTTTCCTGTGCTATTTGCAACCTTGTCAAAGTCGGTCCATGGATTCTCAGAGGAACTCCGACTCTTAAGGTATCTGCTTACATGTTGATGAGAATCATTTTCTATCTTATCGGCCTGGTGAGTTAATTCGAATTCGGATTTGTCGATGCAGCACTCTCTATTTCGAAGATTCGAACAATACGGTGAAGTCATTCACTTGTAAGTTCCCAGCCCAGGGATAGGACTTTCTGCCGATTTGATCTGAGGTGCCCTTCTTCATACTAGACTGGTTTCCTTTCTCCTTCCTTTGATTGACACTTGAAGTCAGTCATACTAGATGTGCATTGTAGTGTGAATACGTTTAATTTCGTTAATTATCAGAGTAAAATCTATTATGAGCTGAAAGAAATGTCAAAAGCAGTTCATTAACATTAATGTGATCTACTAATCATCATAGCAACTGCTTAATATTACCTTGTTTGAAACAGGTACTTGCTCGGCGTGACCATAACCTAACTGGAGCATATCACAATAAGTCATAGTTGTGCCAAGCTTTGGGTGTCCGTCCACTTCATAGGTCTATATTCAACATGGCGCGTCGCAATCATCAAATTTTAGCCTGTAGTACTTTGTTGTCTGGCAGACGCTACTGGGCGGGAATATTTGGACGCTAAGAAGGTGGATCTCAGTTGGCACAGCAGCAAGGTAAATACTTTGATAAATGCTGGCAGTTGGAAATAGTTGTTGAAGATGAAACTAGTGAAGAATAAAACCATGAAACATAGTAAGAATCGTTACTAATGAAATCCTCAGATATTTTAGGTTCCTTTGACTATTTTATTATACTGTTTGCCCGTGAAAGGCTAAACAACGGCTTTGGCTACTTTAGTTGTTTGCTAAGTCGGGAGTTCTCACAAGCGTACGAGCTTTGTTTTGCTTTTATCACCTTCATGGAATCCCCCTTTCTTTTACCTGTACTGGACATTTTCCTTAGATTTCTAAAACGGCATACCTAGATTGCCGACACATGTATTTTTGCTGTGGCGAAGATACTAGACACATGACTATTCAAAGAAAAGAACCATCCTAAGCACATGGCCATCTGGTGGGCAGTATAATCAGAAGTTATTTTGGGCACTAATCAATCAAAGCATTTATGAAAAATGGTTTGCCGTGGATATAGTTAGATTTCACGATCTACATGTACATGGGAAACAGAGTGATAACGGTAATTCTGTCTCTTACCCATTAGATCCTCCAAATCTTCCACTGATGTGGACTGGTGATTAGAAAAAAGAAGAATACTTTTTCTAAGTGGGATTATGACACATGATTACTTTCACTCATGTCTAGTGTATTTTGATTATCAAATTGCTAACTTTAGTATGGCTCGCTTTATGAATTTAGAGGAAGAAAGTATCTGGTAAGTGGTAAGAACTATTCTGAAACCTACTATGATTCTGTGGGCTAATGGAGTGTGTACTTTTCCAGGGTGTCAAAGGCTGGTTGGCCATGAGAAGCTGCAGTGGCAAGTTGACCACTCTTTCCTCGAATAAATACAAAGAGCCGAGACTGGAGAGAGGCAAGTTTTCAACCGAAGCTTCTTCAATTTCAAAAACCATTAATACTTTGCATACATTCCAAGTATTGGCAGCCAGATTTAAGCAAACGTCAGTCACCAAACCAGACTGGTGTGTTTCGTACTACTAAATAAAAATATAACATATTGCAAGAGTGATAATGCAACTCGGTTAGCATGCTGATAAGGCTTAGGTGTCGATGCTTGCTGACATCGTTGAATTCGCACGCCCAGGGATCCTCAGCCTTGCATCGAATGGTTGTGGATCGAAGGGCAGCGATGAAACAGCATCAGCATCTTGGCGAAATTCGTGGTCATGGCGAAAGATGCTGCAGACAACTGAACATGTTTGCTTAATGTTGAAAAGAATGATACCAACCAACCCTGCATCAACCCTGAAAACTGCATGTAGATAGCTACATCGCATCTAAAGTTGAAAGCTCAATCTGGGGGGAAAAACACCCATTCATAATAAGTCGTATATCTCATTGTTGGAGAAGAGGAAATTGAAATTTCACTCTGTTTTCTTACTGGAGTTGGTGGGAGAAAGGCATCCCTCGTCTAATAAAACGAACTGCTGGTTTTCCCTTGCAATTGCAGCCAGCCTTCCTTCGTCCCCACATGGAGAAAGTTTAAAAGGATGACCAAGTTCCTCCTTGTGGCTGCCCTTTCAAGTCATGTTCCTGCAACCTAACAATCTTCCTTTACCCAAAGGTACGTTATCAACTTTGCTGTAGACGGGAGCACATATACTAGGAAGTTACTGTCGAACATGGCTGAAAGGTTCATCATAGCTCATTCGGCCATCACATAAGCGTCATCTAGTGACAAAAAAGTTGGTAGGGGTTTACATAGGAACAGACGACTCGCTTGAATCATATCTTAATCCACACAACTCGATACCTTAGATATGGGAAACTATCGAGTTTTGGCCCAATATGAGAGATTCTATCGAGTTTCATGTGGTCAACTCTATACATTTCAATTTGACCCATTAAGGGAGTCAGTTTGATCGAATTGCACCGTACCAAGAAAGTAAGCGGAGTGATTTGCAGCTAGAAATGAAGCTGCAAGTCATGCGTCAGAAGGGGCTCTGGCATCAAGGGAAAACCTCTTCCGTCGAAGTTGCTCCACCTCCAGATCTTGTCCGATTTGTGAGGACCCATCGGAGACCATTCATCACATACTGTTCACCTGCCCTCATGCGTCAGAAGGATGGCAAAAGGAATGGCCATCTCTGCCACTGCCTACTTCGTTCACAAATATTATGGAATGGTTATTTGCCCTTTCACCCAGGTACTCTGTTTTCTTGATTCAAAGAATCATCTTCCTCCTTTGGCAGATTTGGAAGGCAAGAAACGAACGAGTGTTCAAGAATACAAGGCCTTGGCCCCCTTCCACTTGTGCAAAGGCTGATGTGGCTCACCTCCATTGGACCTCCTGCCCCAAGAAACGGACTCCTATACACCCTGCTCCTCAGCTAACCCATATACCGAATCTCTCTTCACCACCGCCAAGTACCCATGATTTTGAGGTACACTGTGACGGCTCTTTCTACAGCGAGTCACAGGAGGCGGCATATGGAGTGGTCGTCTCGAACAGCCACGGTCAAGTCTGCGACGGTAGAGCTGAGATCATGCATTGTTTTTCTCCGCTTGAAGCTGAAGCCAAGGCGCTTCTGGAGGGCACGCGACTGGCGGCTAGCCTCTCCACTCCCTGCCTGGTCAATTCCGATTGTCTCCCCCTGGTGAATGCCATTCAAGACTGCTCAGGCTTATGGCCCTGGAAAGCAGCAGCATGGATTGGCTCCATCAAGCAGCTATTGGGGGCAAACCCTCTGGTTCGGATCAAGCATATTAGGCGTAGGAACAATTGTAAGGCAGACTGGGCTGCTAGATCTTGTGCTAAGAGATCTCTGCCATCTCAATGGATACAAATTCTCGATGTTGTTTCCCCTCTGCTGTAACAATGTGTTTCTCACTAGTAATGAAATGCAATGTCCTTCTGTCAAAAAAAAAATGAAGCTGCAAGTCACGCTTTGTTTGTGGTGCAGTGCGGTTGCACCACAACGACTGTATACTCTCGTATCATAATTCAAACTCTCTTTGTGCTCGTTATTTTAGCTACGTTGTTCCACGTTTCAATGTGCATAGAAACCTCTGCATCGGGCGTTGGGTCTAGCTTGCACCAAATAGCGTTTCGGTTTGGCTCGGTTCGTGGCTGTACGGTGCGTTCAACCACACTAAAATGGCTACCCCTACTACTAGTCATGATCCAGGTAACACAATCCGATCATTTGATGCTTGTGCTATTATTTCATTGACAGTAATATCTTAGGGAAAGATTCTTGTGGGTTTGATTAGGCAATTAGGGAGCAGAGTCTTTCGTCAATCTGGTTCACTACTTGATTTGGGATGATTTTGATGAACAAGGGAAAAAACAAGGTAGGGCCCACATCCTACGACTTTTAAGTATTTTTTTTTTTTTTTGGGGCTGTTGATGAATCTTTTGAAGTTATTTTCCCTGTCGGTACTAAAAAGAATTTAGGACTAGTCTGTCCGGTTCGCATAGAAGTCCAACCCACACCGCCAGGCGGCAATCGTTAATTCAGCCACGTTCCTCGCCTGTTGTTGGGTGTTTTCAGGTTCATTGCTTGCACTTCCTTTCTCAATAGTTTCTCCACCGACAGTACCCCTGTTTTATTTTTATTTTGGGTAAATGTCACATTTAGTCACTCACTAGAAAATTTTAATATTAATTTTGGAGACTCGAATTACTAAAACAGGTCACATTTAGTCACTCTCCCGTTAGTTTCCGTCCAACTGGACGGAAATGGACGGAAACAATGGAGTTGGACGGAAACTAACGGGAGAGTGACTAAATTTGACATGTTTTAGTAATTTGAGTGACTAAATTTGACATGTTTCAATAATTCGAGTGACCAGAGTTGGACAGAGGCTACAGGAGTGAACAAATGTTACATGTTTCAGTAATTCGAGTGACCAAAATTAAAATTAAATTTTTCCAGTGACTAAACATGATATGATTTAAAAATCTCAGTGATCAAATGTGGCATTTACCCTTTTTATTTTTACTTTCTGCCCTATCCTCAGAAAACAAATAGATTAGACAAATCGGTTTTATGTTTAGAGAAGTTAATTTCCCATTTTATATATAAATAAATGGGGAATTATGTGGGGAAAAGGTTGACCCCATTGTGTAACATAATCGAAAGCCACGATCAGTGTATACATTTTCTCCACTGCATGAAAAAGGCTTTCACCCAACAATGGCTTTTGGATTCTTGGAAAGGTTGTGGTGATGTGATCAGGAAACAACTATAATTTTGTCATTTACAATAATTGTCTTTCGACTTTGATTAGCCATCATTGTTTTCACTCAATGGTTAAAAAAGAAAGTATTGGTTTAGGACAGAAAGATTTCTAGTTCAAATCTCATTAGCATCATATTTCAAATATTGAGTTGAAGAAAGACGTTAAACTAGTTGTGGGCATTGGGGTCCTACCTTGCGTCTAAGACGTCGCTTAGGCATTTCAACTTCTACCCTATCAAAATATGTTGTGATTTGAAAAGGAGACCAATGCAGAGGGTCGGGTCGATTAGATCTAGAAAAAATTGAAAACTACGATAGTCGACGATGAAGAGAGCAAGGGAGAAAGCCAAGTCGGTCGAAGTTGGATAATAATTGAAGAAGTGTTATGAATTCCTCAAGGGAGAGGGGCAAGTCGATCGGAGTTGGGTAATAATTGAAGAAGTGTTATGAATGCCTCAACTTGATTAATCGTGTGTTATGAATGCCTATTTTTTTTATCAATTACCTCTACAATTATAATTCTTCCAATCAAAGGAATAAGCATATAAATCATAAAATATATGCCACTAACAAAGCAAATACGATAGACATAGTACTGCAATCCTTGATTCGCCCTAATTTTGTGTTCTTTTTCTAAAACGATGAATAGGGTAATATATTTGGTGTTTCCGTCTTGGATTTTGCCATCTATCTAAATTGTGGAGACAAAAAATCAGATGTCATTGTCTGATTCTTCTTTTTCTACGTGTTCTTTTATCAGAGAAATAGCCCGTCTAGTGGAATCTATCAGAGGAAAACGAGAAAGCTGACTGATGAAGAAGAAAGGAAGGCCTTTTTGGCAAACGAAATTGTTGTATATGATTGATTGGCCATTCTCCCTTCTCTTTTGGGGGCTTTGGCTCTCTTATTATTCACGTCCACGGTTCATATTTCGATCATCTTGGTGACCTTTCTTCGAATACAATCCTTTTAAGGGGAAAACGTGATTCTTTAGCTTATGTTGTAATAATGCATGCATGTGAGGTGCATATACTGTGCATTTTCATGTATCAAGTGTAATTTATTGTTGATTGGCAAGAGAAGTACTTCAATCAAATTGATGTAGTAATTGTGTTTGTATTGAGTATTTTCTGTTATATCTTCTCTGTACTGAGAGCAGGTAACTAACTGCGAATGAGGAGTTGATCTAGTGGTTTTATTATGATTCTTCAATATAGAGGTTGGCAGGTTGCAGTTTCTAATTTTTCGTGGAACAACAAAAATAAATTGATAGCATTCTCATAAAAGCGGTAACTACATTCTACAGTGGTCACTTAGCAACATATCCCGATTAATAAAAAAATGTGGTGGTTTCTATTTTTTTCACTTGATTGTTTCAATCGAGGTTTTTAGAATCATCTACTACCAACTTTTTAGGGTTGAACGAGCGGGAAAAAATCATTTACTATAGTAGTGACTAATCTTTCATAACAAGTTTCATGAACCTATCAATGACTTCTCAAATAATAAACTCTAATCTCATGACTCATTATTAAACAACGAGACGACGAACCACCACGCCATGGCGTTGGTGCCCAAATTATTGTTTGATTAACAATGAGAAACAAAATGATGTTCACTCTAACATTTGTATTTATCAATGCCTAATTTATTCTATAGGCCTTGTCATTTCAAATCTATGTACCTATTCTTAAATACATTGTATAATTCAATATTTTGTTTATATACCAAGAAGAAAAAGGAATCATTTAACACTAATTAATTCATACTAGTTAGACTGTTAGAGGGTCCAAATCACCAATCAAAAGCTTCCTCATTCCATCTTTTTCTCTAGCCGTCTCAATAACCTCTCATCATCTAAATTGGAACATACGGAACCAACCAACCTACCTGGTCGCAAAAAGTAATCCAGCCTAGCTTTCCTTAGAAACCCATTATTAATAACCAATTTCCAATTATGCAATTTAAACCCCCTCCATAATTACACCTAACCAAGTAATCAACCACTAATCAGAAGTTAATCCACTCTCAACAGGGATGTGGAATAGAATGAGGATTGCGCATTATATCTAATCGAAAACTTTGAATCCGATCTTCAAAAAAAAAAAAACAAAAAAAAAACTTTGAATCCGAAATTCGACGATAGAACATTAAAAACTTACTGTTCAACATTAACTAATATCTTATTGCAGAGTTCACTGATTCATTCATTCATAATCATTCATCCAACACGCCCAGAATATGCTCTTTTTAGCTATACAGTCTTTCGTCGTTAACATGGGTAAAAAAAAACAGTAAGAAAACGACAGTAAAAAGTTTATTTTTTTCCCCCACTTCACAAAATCAAAATTCACAGAGAAGTTGATATGTGTATAGACAAACAGTAAAAAAAAATTATTAACTTCTGTATAACCTTCCCCTCTTTTCCATCTACATCCTTCCTTCCGCTACTACACAATTCCACCCGTGTCGGCCGCCGGAATCTCGACATCCCGATATCTCCGGCCGTCCGCCGGCCTATAATCCCGCTTCGGATTCGTTCAATTCGTGCCGCCATTTACGGGTTTCTTTCACCTTTCCGCGTTTCCCCCCCAAATCCCCGTCAGGAATCCAAAGCGAACGGCGTCTGCAACAGATCGTACGGAGCCCAGAGCGCGTCAAGCGGACACGGCCGATTGGCGTCGAGCCGGGCCCACGGCTTCCCTTTCCCGCTCCAATGCAGCAAGCTCACCGGCCCCGGATGCAAATCCCGGCAAAGCCCCCTGAAATTGTCCCCTCCCAGACCGTGCTGGTTCCACCGGTGGTTCACGGGGACGATTTCGCCGGCGAAGACGAGCAAGAAAGGCGGCAGGGAACCCAATTCGTAGATCCGAATTCGCTTCTGAAGCTCCATCCACTCCTCGATTTTGGTTGTATAATCCCCTTCCCTCCACCGATCCAGATCTATCACCATAACCCCGGTGTTGAAATAGCACGCCCTCCTGTCCGCAAAAGTGAGCGACAGAGAAGGGTTGGACCAAAACGTAGGGGTAAAATAGGAAGTGAAATTGGCGTTGCAGTACTCCGGCGCAGCCAGCACCGCCCTCTCCCCGAGGTCGGTCCTTGCCAGCCTGGCAATGTCGTCGACGAGGACGAGGTCGGAGTCGAGGTAGACGATTCGCCGGACACACATGGGGAGTATGTTGGCGAGGTAGCTGCGGGCGTAGTTGAGGGGACAATCGAGGGCGGAGCGGATGGAGGTGGAGATTAGCCGGGCGACGGAGGAGTCGTCGAAGGAGTAGACCCGGAAGTTGAGGTAAGGGAAGGAAGAAGAGATGGTGGCGCGTAGGGCCGACGCGTCGGCGGATTGGGAGGCGACGAAGTGGAAGGCGATGTTCTGCGGGCAGGAGGAGTGCTGGAGGACGGAGAGGATCGCGGCCATGGAGCCGCGGATGTAGGCCGTGTCGAGGGTCATCGCCACGTGGACGGCTCGATCCGAGCAGAATATCGCGCCGCCTACGCGGTCGTCGGCGGCGCCGTCGCGCTCGTCGTCCCAGTCGATTGCGGGACATTCAGGGGAGTTGTAGAATTGGGGGGCTTCTTTGAATTGGTGGGCGGAAGGGTGTGGAAGAGGAGCTCCGACGGTAATGGCGGCGGAGGCGGCGGCATTGGAGGTCAGGAGTAGAATTAGGAAAAAGGGGAGGTGGGGATTTGGGAATCCCGGCATGGGAAGGAATTGTGGGGGAGAAGAAGGAGATTTGCGATGGTGTTCGAATTGGGAAAGGGAAGTAGTAGTGGAAAGGAGTCGAAGGAAGGAAGGAAGGAAGTAGAGGAAGGAATTCTTTTTGGAGGGGGGAACTTAGGATCTTGAGGTTCTTTGGACCTTTTTTATTTGCTTCCTTTCTGGCTAGCTGGCTTAATAGTAAGTTACTAGAAGTGTTGAATAAGCCATTTGGTGCTTACTTATAATTTTCAATTTGGGGGAGAATGAGGCATTTGATGCTCTTTTATAGGAAGGGCATGGTGGGAATTGGAAACGAGCCGAAATGGATATAAACCGGATCGGTAGATGGAAGAGACGCGCGGTGATTGTAGGTCGGGTTAAAATGGTATTCAATTTTATTTATGTATTTTGGTATGATTTCGAATGAGTGTTGTTTACTTATTTGTTTGTATAAGTTGGTTGGAAAATAAACAAACTCTACGGATTACGGTTTATAAACATAGGATCGAAATTAGGTCTAGTTGTTTAGAATCTGGTCTGACTCCAAATAAGCGTAGAATCGAAACTAGGAAATGAAAGAGATTTAAGGATAAGGACTGAACGAAAACACTATGAGCATTGATATCAAACCGGATTGTGTTTGGTTTGATTTTGAGTTGGATGTTGGTTTGGTTTGGACTCATATGATTCGGTTCGGACGGACCGGAGTGTTGCTCTTGCGATGTTATGTGTTTGATATATGAAAGAGGGGCAAATGGGGAAACAAGAGGGGGTGGCTGGCAGGGTGGAATAAAATGGAATTGGGTGAATGATTTGGGTTTGGTTTGGTTTGTTTGGAGTCTTGTGGTTGGGAAAGGGAGTTGGTTTGCATCTTTCACATTTGGTTGTGGACTGGAAGCCTGTCGCCTCCTCCCCCTTAGAAAATGGGTCCCAAACAGACTAAAAATAGTGTTTTGTGAATTTTTTAAAAATTATTGTTGATGATACTGATATCCAATTGTTAATCAAGTTTCCAAATGGTTGTTTTGGGACTCACTTTTACTTGGTATTTATTTGTTATTAATTATTGCATACCATTTGAGCATTGGTAAATCAAGCAGCATGCATTTCCAGTTTTCTAATTTTGATCAAGTGGTGTGGAGAAGGTAACTTCTACCACATACCAAGAGAGTAAAAATGGGTATAGAAAAAAATGTCAAAGAGGGAATGGATGGAAATCAGCATCTAATACCTACCATTACCAATGCAGTTTAAAATGTCATTTTTCACTCAAATAAGAAACTTCACCCCCTCCCCTTTCAATTTTACTGGCTTCCCATTTTTACCAAATCCTAAATACAATGTTGGGTAGTTTCGTATTTGGGCTATCTTGCTTGGCTACCTTCGTAGGTACGTGATTACGATAAGACAGGTTTAGTTCGCTTAGGACGTGAAAAAGCTGAGTAGTTATGGTGTATCTACGCTGTTGATTTACGTCGTCACGGTCATCTGATTAAAATAAAATCTAATGATTGAAAAAATATACGAATACAGTTACGCCTCTTTCAATTCGACAACCATAGAGAATCGGACAGTATATTTCTGCACATAAATACAGTTTTGATGTGAGTGTTCATCTTTAACTTTTTTGACTGAGAGTGTTCGTCTTTAATTTAATACAAAGTTGGGCAAAAATTGACATTTTTATCTTGATGAGGAAAAACAACACTTGATTAATAATAATAAAAACAGCACTTTGCCACTTTGGTTAAAACGCCTTAATTACTAAGAGGGATTTGGGTTAACTTAGCTGGAGCGACAGCCTACAACTACAAGGAACAAAATCTCAGAAAGCGCGGGAGGTGGGTTATTTAATTGATCAAATCTTTTAATTAAAGTTTTCTCTTTTCTTCCACTTTGGGATTCACTGACAGCTTCAGTCGTCTGAATGAATAATCAGCAACAACAATAATAATATGAACAGAAAACTGTGAAAATATCACAGAACTGCAGCAGGAGGCACAATAAACCATGATGCTTTGTCATTGTTACCGACCTATTGGTTTTTGGGGTTTTAAGTTCTTTTTTTAACTTTATGCAGTTTGGTCTCTTTGGTTTATCCAACAATCGGGCTCATGAGCTGGTGGTCGGCGAGGTGCAATGTTGGAAAAAAGGACTTCATGAGGTCACATTTGGAGGAGAAAACTATCGCTGACAAAGTCATAGCAGAGACGGCTCGTGATGGTTTGGTTTGGCATTGTGTGGTTTCGGACGAGATCGAGCGGTAGCGATTGCTATGTTTGATGTTCGGTGTGTTGATCATACGCGAATCGGATTGGTGGCATTTCGTTTTACGTAGTGGTTGATATTTTGTTAATAATCTTTATATCTGTCATTTGCTCGCTTAATACAAGTGATTTGTTGATAAAAACGAATTGAACTCTAACTGCACCAACACCATGAACATGATTCAGCAAACCCTAAAACATGAATGGTTTGAAACGGGTAGTAGATAAACGATGAATAAAATGGGTCGAAAATGAAATTGGTCAAGGCAGGGGTGAATTATGAAATGAGTCGTCTGATCCCTAGCTTGAATCGTAACCAACACACATCAAATGTTGGCTCCATGATTCTTAGGGATGACAATTTCGACCTGATGACCCGATTCACCCGACCTGTTTGCCCTGTTTTGGTGCGGATCCGACCTGCCACGTAGGTGGGGCGGAGCGAGCATGGGTACCTCTCATCGACCCGACCTGACCTGACCCGCCCCATTCTCGACCCATTCTTGTCTAAATTACATGTAATCTTAGTCAAATTACTTAGGATTTTCCTATTATTACATCATATTTTAGCTATAATAAAGGTGTAAATAGGTGAAAACCTCAATTTCTCCAATAATTTAACTACATTTTATCATAGCCTATGTTTGGCCCGGCTTTTAGAAGTGCTTTTCGGCTTCAAAAGCTTAAGCAGGGCCAAACACCTCTAAAAGCTCGGCTTTTGAAAAGCCGAAAAGCGCTTTTGTATAACATAAAAGCAGAAGCTCCGATTTGGAGCTTCTGCGAAAAGCTGTTTTGAAAATACAAGATTATCCTTACCATATTTTAATTTTATTTCAGAAAATATAATTTTCCTTCATTTATATCATTTTAAAAATAAAATAAATTATAAAATCATATTATTTAATATAAAAGAAATCTAACAAGATCCATTTTGACTACTTTTTATTGTTTCGAATTTTTATTTATATTTTATATTATAAGTCCTTTATAGTCATTTTACACAACCGCTCATATTAAAAAGCACTTCTAATAGTTTTACAGCCAAACACTAAACTGCTTTTTTTGAAAAGTACTTATCTAAAAGCTCCAGCCAGAAGCTGCTTCTGCAAAAGCTACAGCAGGGCCAAACTAAGCTTATATTATGATTTCTTTCTTGGTCTTTTAATGAAAATAACGAATATTTCTAATATTTGTCGCATAAATTACATACTCATTAGGTCGACCTACCCCAACCCACGTCCCATTATAAATTACATGCCCTGTACCCGACCTGTTATGGGGCGGATATGGGAATCGAGATACCCACCCCGGACCTGCCAGTCATTCCTAATGATTTTCCTTACCCTTGGGAACGATTATGGATACTAAACACAAAGGAAAAGAACAAGAAGAAAAGGTGAAAGAGAGGGAGAGATTCGGCCGCTTTCATTCTTATTGTTCAGTTCAAGCCAATAAGAAGTTAAGAACTGTAACTAATTAGCTAGCTAGCTGTAGGTTGCCCTGTTCCACACATAGTTAGCAACATTAAATTATGGTTAATTTAATTAATGTACTTAATTAATTAGGTGTAGTATAATTATTTGCAAGCTTATAGAATAGAAGCTTAGCTAGGTAGAAGGGGGGTTTGTTGTTGATGCATACAGTTGGCCGGAGATACGTTGAGCCATCGCCGTCGTGGAAGAAAACAATGCCACACCAAGCACAAGCAAAGCAATAATGGACGTAGACTACTACCATAAGCCTAGCTAAGGCTTCCTTCCAATCCAAGAAATCAAATTATTACTATATTAAAAGAACAAGCAATTTTTGGGTTAATTGCATGGTTGGTCACTGAGATTACAAAAACCGTTCACGTTTGGTCACTGGAAATATTTAAATTCAATCTTGGTCACTCAAATTATTTAAATGGTTCAAGTTTGGTCACTCTCCGTCAATTTCCGCTAACTCTAGCTTACGTGGCAGTCAACTTTCATAGTTGACCGTTAAATATGTGACGTGGCAATTACGGCAACACGAAGGTCGTCCTGACACGAGCACTCGCAGCGTCGTCCCTTGTGTTCATCGCCGGGGCCGCCGCCGGGTACTACCGGCGGATGCCGAGAGCCAGCAGCAAGCGAGTCGTCCCGAGGCTGGACGATGTAAGGACGGAGTCCGGCAGCGGCGACAGAAAGGTGGAGAGGTTCTCGCACTACGTGGCGAGGCAGCTAGGGTTCTCAGATCCGAGCGAGTGCCCGCAGCTGTGCAAGCTGGCGTACGACTACCTGAGGAAAATCGACGGTTGCGAGGACAACATCTACGATTATTTTGCAAGATCCGAAGGCGGCAGCGAGCTGGAGAAATTGTTGTCCGGGAAGCTGGTGGAGGAGCTCGAGAAATGCATTTTGAGCTACTTTGCTTTCCACTGGAACCACGCCCCTTCCCTAGTCTCTCAGGTAGGTTTCCAAATTCAATTTACTCCCTGCAGATTTCAAAATTTCTCGGAGAGCTTCTAGTTTTGTTTTCCGATTTTGTTGAACTAATTCTTTGTTCAATTTTTTTTCCTTCTTCTTTTGTTGATTAGGTGATGAAAGATCAATCGCAGAAGAAGCCGAAGCTCAAAAGCGCTATAATGGCTGCCACAAGGTAGACACCGCGACAAAAATTTTTTTTTTTAATTAATGTAATAATGAGGTGGAAAATGTAAAAGAATATTTTTTTTAATAATTTTTTAATTGCCACGTCACATATTTAACGGTCAACTATGAAAGTTGACTGCCACGTAAAATAGAGTTAACAGAAATGGACGGAGAGTGACCAAACTTGAACCATTTAAATAATTTGAGTTACCAAGATTGGATTTAAATATTTCCAGTGACCAAACGTGAACGTTTTTTGTAATCTCAGTGACCAACCATGCAATTAACCCAGCAAATTTTTTACTATTTCTTAGAGCCAAGAGTGGCATCCTACCAAAAAAAAAAAAAGTGAAGACGGCACTTTTGTAATTTTGTTTATCTTAACATGTGACCATTTGTAATTAACCATAAGTTTAGGGACTTTTTGGGTTATTGTAATTTTCACTACACTAATTTATTTCCTTTTCAAATGGATTCAAATTTCTTAGAGTCACATCCAAGGAGTGACACTTTTGTAACTTTGTTCATCTTAAGATGTGACAATTTGTAATTAACCATAAGTTTAGGGACTTTTTGGGTTATTGTAATTTTCACTACACTAATTTATTTCCTTTTCAAATGGATTCAAACTAATTCAACACGGTTTGAACCTGGTATTTTTTTGGGTCGGGAACGAGTTTTAATTTTATTTTCTTTTATTGTTCAGCGAGTTGAACTCGATGTCAACGATTGGGTTGGGTGTGCAATTTTGCGACAGCAACGAGTTTAGGGACTTTTAGAGTTTAGGGTTATGAATGAATTTTATCCATTTTTGTAATCATTGAATGAGACTTTTAGGGTTGTGAATGAATTTTATCGGTGTGGGTCAAGAACGCTTTATACCCCCCTTTTCCAACCCGGTATCGGTGTGGCCAAATTTTAGACCGGGAACGAATTCTACCTGCTTTTGTAGTTAATGAATTGGATCATTAATTAAATGTTTTAAATATTTCCTCATAGGAAAATTGAACCTAAAAAATTATCCACTTTTGTAATCATTAAATTAGGTCAAGAACGCATTATACCCGCCTTTTCCAACCCTGTATCGGTGTTGCCAAGTTTTAGGTTGGCAACGAATTTTACGGTTACGAATGAATTTTATCCACTTTTGTAATCATTGAATTGGGTCGAGAATGCATTATACCCTCCTTTTCCAACCCGCTATCGGTGTTGCCAAATTTTAGGTCGGGAACGAACTTTACCCACTTTTGTAATTAACAAATTGGGTCATTAATCAAATATTTTAAATATTTCCTCTTATGATAATTGAACCCAAATTCATGTTTGTTCAATCTAATTCGACTCGTTATCGGTGTTGCCGAATTTTAGTCCGGGAATGAATTTTACCCGCTTTTGTTATTAACGAATTGAATCAATTGTGGATTTTGTTAAAAAGTCGCCCCGCTTTATCGAGTTGAATCCGGTGTTGACAAATTTTGGGTTGAGTGAGAGTTTTTCCCTTGACACTAGGCGTGAATTAATTTTATCCACTTTTGTAATCATTGAATTGGGTCGAGAACGCATTTTACCCGCTTTTTCCATCCTGGTATCGATGTTGCCAAATTGTAGGCCAAGAACGAATTTTACCTGCTTTTATAATTAATGAATTGGGTCGGGTGTGAATTTTGTTAAGAACTCGCCGCGCTATATCGAGTTGAATCCAATGTTGATGGTGTTTGGGTCGAGGACGAGTTTTACCCTTGGCACTTTTGGGGGCGTGAATGAATTTTATCCACTTTTGTAATCATTGAATTGGATCGAGAACGCATTTTATCCGCCTTTTCAATCTAATTCAACCCGTTCAAAGCGAGTTGAACTTGTGTTGATGATTTTTGGGCCGGGGATAAATTTTACCCCTTTTGTAATTCTACCTGGTATCGGTGTTGCCAAATTTTAGGTCGGGAACGAATTTTATCCGCTTTTGTAATTAGCAGATTGGATCGAGTGTGGATTTTGTCAAACACTCGCCCCACTTTATCAAACCGGTCAAAGAGAATTGAATCCCGTGTTTACGGGTTTTGGGTCGGTTCTTATTAAAAGAACAAGTAAAAACGGTAATGTTACTTAGAGTCACATCAAACATATGATTATTTTGTTATTTCCCCCAAATTTAAGGACTAAAAATGCAATTATGTTTGACTTTTTAATCAATAACACTTGCTAGAAAGTAGAAACTAGGGTCATGTATTTGATGTCTCGATGAGAAGCACCACTGTTAGAATGGCTTCAACATTTTTATTGGTTGCCCTCTGCAGAGTGATAATGAAGGGATTTTGTGTTTTGCATCGGTATGTTTTTTTGTTGCCTATAATATCCAGATTTTTTATTTTCTCTAATGATGCTTATTGATTTCCATCTTCTATTGTTTTCAATTGGTTATTAAGATTCAGATCCATGGACGGGTCATCCGAACCCATGGATCCTTGAGTCACCCTGTAATGTCAAAAATTGTACAGCATTTTCACTTTCTATGTGAGTTGCCTCTATATTTCTCCTTTCCTCTAATCCACAAACCCAACTCGGATCAAGCCATTTCGGAGAGGGTCCGTTGAGCTCTCTTATCTATAATGGCAAGCGCTCCTAGGGTAAGACGACATCACCAGCTGATGAGAGGGCACCGGCGGGTCATGGAAAAAGATGAAGATTTTTTTAAGTACTTTGCATCGATATGTTCTTTTGATCCCTATAAACTATATTTTCATTTTCCCTAATGAAGCTAATTGCGGTTGGCATTCTTCACCTATGTACTCTGTATTGTTGTGTACACTGTAGTTTGTTTGCTAATATATATATTTTTACATTCCACCAGATTATTCTGCAAATTGCATGCTTAATGTGAATCCAGATGTCGTAAATTAAAAGTCACTACGAACCATGAAGCAAACCTTGCCCTGGTTTGTCTGGCACCTAAAGAGTTTGAATCGTTGTTGCAACATCAACAAAAACAATGCCTCAGAGATTGATGCGGCATACAATTTATGGCAAGAAATATACATTGCGAGCCCACACTATGATGAACCACACATTCACATCTCCGCAATCTAGCACACACAAACTTTTAAATCTCTACTCTGTTGTTAGTCTAAACTAGCTACCCCTTTACTCACTTTTGATCGTGAGGTCTTGCCATGTGTACCATATGGTGTTTAGGATCTCAGTTTCTACTGATGCTACATTTATCTCTATCCATCAATCTTGCCTTTTGGGTTCCAATTGTCTTCTCTTTGTGCATCCCTCACATTAATGTTTAAGTTGTGTTGTATTTTTAATTCAAGAACGTAGAATACGTTAGCATTTTGTCGTTTGATCAATATTCATGGTGCAATAATTTCACCCCCCGACGTGTAGCGCGGGCTTCCGTTCTAGTATTTATTACATTAATTTTAGTGCTTTTCAATACCCAAGATTCGGGGTATTGTCAAAACTTAATTTATTAGGTGTCAAATCAGGTTTTGATAGTTTCACATTTGGGGCAGACTCATAGCGAATTTTTTTGGTTTGGGTCTAAATTAGACTCATTATATTTGGTCATCCAAAATAAAATGGATACACGATTATAATGCGGTTTTACATTTTTCTTTGTTATGAAACAAAGAGAAATGTGTAAACACAAACATTGAAGATGTGAATTGGTTGAAGGCAGTTAGTGAGTAGATCGATATTGTTCTTTTGTGTGTACAATTTCTAGACCCAAATAGACCCATTTGGGTCTAACACAAACGAGTTGATCTAATGTTAGAAACCCGCCCATTTGGGGTTTCTCTAATTAATTTTAGTAGGATAATTATAATTATAGTTAGTAGTTTTTTAGTCGAATAAGGGTTATTATTAGGATTTTCCTGTATTTTTCCTATAAATATGTACACTCGGTTATAATGAAAATAATCAAGCAGAATAACAAGAAAAGTATATTAACCCTAATCTTCCCAAATCCTCTCAATTCTCGACCATTTTCTCTCCCAAAAGCTGTCGGCCAGTTCTTCCCTATCTTTCCCAATTCTATTCTTCAATTCATAATCTCCAATTCTTCAATCTAAATCCATAATTATATTCCCACTCCTTAAATCTCTATCTATTACGAGTAATATAATCACGGGTAACGAAGATCAGTCCCTAGAAGTCCTAAAAAGAGGATTTCTAACAGCCAAATTAGACTCATCCAAATTCAATCCCAACTTAAAATCATTAAAAGTACATATGGGTTTATTTAGATCTGACACAATACTCATATGAGTCATAACTCATAACAATTAGGTCAAATTATTCAATTAGCCAGACTAATTTCCCTCCCTAATACCAGATAGTATAGTAATATAAAAATGTGAAAATGGTAGGGTAGCCGTTCATTTAACAAACATTGTTTGCAGTTTGCACCCACTGCTGAACCCAATTAAATAACTTGACCAAGTTGAAAATAGTTTTGTGATACTTGACGGGTTAACTCCTTCCCGCTAGTCATATAATTATCGAGGAGGACGTTCCATCTACACATAGTCTCTTAATTCTAATTAATCGGAAATTGCGATCCTTTGCTTAAGCTTCAATCAAGTTAAAATGCACGTATAGTTTATGAAATTCTAATTAATTAGCTCTATGAATGCTACATTTGAATCTAAGTCTCTCACGATAGCTAGACAGTGATAATCATTCCTCCGCATCATAACTCTCAAAGTGATTGATTTTTTTTATAATAACCTGTTACAGGTACTATTAGAGGAGAATCGAATACACGATTTTATAATGGAACGTGTGTCGACTCACTAACTAGGTTGACCCTCATTCGCCTTCAAAGTGATTGTTGGATAAAAAAATAACAAAACAATTGAAATTTTCATCATCTCAACTAGGTCCATAATATTTATTTATTTTTATTACGTGATCACGTTTACAATACTAATTGCTTTCACTCGATAGGCCTACCAACTGTACTCAAAACAAAAATTTACAGGGGGTTGGATACTATGCCTACTCCCAAAGGGG